GTTCGAGTCCAGTACAGTATTTCAGTTCATTTTTCAGTCCAGTTAGTTCAGTACACCGGTATCAGTTCAGTCCGGTTTTTCTTGTCAGTCCAGTTAAGTCCCGAGAATATTCCAGTTAGATATTTAGATCGAGTCGAGCATCTTAATAGTTATTTTCAGTTAGTCTGAGCATAGCACTTAGTATTTGTTTATTTATATAATTTTTACAGAGTGATCAGCAGCAGTACTTACATTATCAGTACAGGTAGGGACTCAGACTGAGTATTACTTTACGTATAATTACAGCTATCATGCGAGGTATGTATATATCAGTTCCGCTTAGAGTGGTGGCCAGTTTGCGTAATTCCACTCAGAGCTCTAGTGGCTAGATCTGACCACTAGGGTGTGCACATGGTTCCGGCTAGTATTATTACAGTCGGCAGACACAGTTTACGTCCAGTTTATACTGTTGACGAGCAGTTACAGATAGAGGCAGATATGCATGCGTTTGATCATGATAATGCAATTATTATTAATGTTTACTTTAGTATGAGTTTCTGCGGAGTACAGTGTTTATAGTACTCACGCTCCCACTATTATGATTCTTTTCAGGAGACAGGGTCGGTCCGGAGGAGTGAGTGGAGCTGGTTGTTGCTGGTCCAGTACATGTAAATATGTTTATTTTTTTGCAGACTGTTGATATGTATATATTTGCCACATTTTACTTCCGCTAACGTTTTCAGACTTTCAAACTAGCGTGTAAATTTTCAGACGACGATCCGAGTCCTCGGGTCTAGTTTTATACAGTATCACGCGCTTGTTTTATAATGATAATCCGTTTTTCATAAATGTGTTTATAGTTAACGGATTTTTAGAAAGGAAATATTTTATGTAGCATCCCGAGATATGTTTCGCAAAATAAACATAAACTTTAAAAAAGGATTTGCGAAAATCGCACTCTGATTTCAGTAAGCTAGCGGGATGTTACAAATTGGTATCAGAGCACATTTTCGTGTATCTGAATACTTTTAAGGTTAAAAATTTTCAGAAACGACCCGACCACGCTACGCTCACGCCTCGCCGACTATCAGGTAAGTGCTGAATTTCAGATTATAAGTATATTTAAATGAATACTTAAGTTTATGCTCAGTAGTGGGTATCAGATTATTGACCCTAGAAACCAGTAAGATGCTCGAGTATATTCAAAACTTAGTCGATTGTCCCGGTTATTTGATAGTTCGACTTTAGTATTCTTGGGTTATTTAGCGACTCGTCAAGAGATTTGTGTATTTAAATAATCAGTTAGTTAATCTCTTATGTTATTTAATCATGGTAAATATTTCAATGTTCAGATGCCTCCTCGTAGAGAGCCAGATCACCAGGAACTCCCACAGGCCACAGTGGTCGCTTTGTTCCGCGACTACCATCCAGAAAAGTTTTCCGGCCAAGGAGATCCTCGTGTAGTAGACGAATGGGTTCAGGGTCTCGAGATTATTTTCGAGGTCATGAACTGCCCCGATCGTTATCGCATGTTATTTTCTCAGATCCAGCTGACCGGTGATGCCAGACTCTGGTGGCAGGCCTATTGGAGTATGCGTCCCGGTGAAAAACACGGTTGTACGTGGGACCAGTTCAAGGAATTGATCCGAGAAAAGTATTATCCCTCGTATTACCGAGCAGACATGGAGCGCCAGTTTTTGGCACTCACTCAGGGTACTCGTACTGTCGACGAGTACGAACGAGAGTTCACATGTCTCGGAGCTTTTGTACCAGATCTTGTAGGTACAGAAGCAAAGAGAGCCCACCGTTTCACCGACGGACTTCGCCCAGCAGTCCGCCACAACATCGTAGGCCATGGCGTCCAGACCTACGCTCGCGCAGTTGCCATTGCACAAGAAGTCGATGCCAGTATCCGACGTGAAGCCATCCAGACACCAGCCCAACCAGTTGCTCAGCCACTAGCCCAGCCCAAAGTTGCCCAACCGTCAAAGAACCAGAAGAAGAGGAAGTACAGAAACACTCTTGATGACCGGAGGACCCGTCCCAGACAATATCCAGAATGCCCAACCTGCGAGAAACACCATGTGGAGAATGCCTTGTGGGCCAGAATGTTTGTTTCTTTTGCCGTCAGCCAGGTCACTTCAGCAGTAACTGTCCAAAACGACTGCAACAACAACCACAACAACGTCAACAGCCACAGCAACCTCAACAACAGCAACTTCAACAACAACAGCCCAGGCAGCAACCACCACGACATCAGCAACAGCAACGCGGCAGACAGCAGGCCCACGTCTTTGCAGTTGACCATAGGGAGGCCGACCAGCATCCAGGTACCATGTCCGGGATGATTATTCTTAATGATGTGCCTGTCTATGCCTTATTCGATACCGGAGCGACCCACTCTTTTTTATCACGTCGATGTCTCGAAGCTATTGGGGTTCGTTCCACTACTGCTGTCGATCCTCTCGAGGTGAGTTTAGCCTCGGGAAGAAAGATAGTGACTGACGCTAGAGCCACCAATCTCAGCCTTTCCATCGGCGGCCGTATTGTGATTACTGATACTTATGTTATCGAGATGAGGGATTTTGACCTCATACTCGGTATGGATTGGCTAACTCGATTTCACGCAGATATTCGATGTTATGACCGGGAGATTACTCTTTATCTTTCGGGAGATGATCAGATCACTTATTACGGCTCCAGGACTTGTACTCTGCCACATATTATTTCTATGGCGAAAGCCAGAAAGATTTTTCGACGGGGTGATTGTCAGGGTTATCTTGTGAGCCTCGTTGGAGATGAGTCAAAGGCACGTTCACCTCATGATATTCCTATCGTTTGTGAGTTTATGGACGTGTTTCCAGACCAGCTTCCCGGAGGTCCGCCTTGCCGACAGGTGGAATTTTCTATTGATCTTATCCCTGGAGCCGGACCCGTTTCAAAGGCACCGTACAGAATGGCGCCTAAAGAATTGCAGGAATTAAAGACCCAAATCCAAGAGTTGCTGAATCTCGGTTTTATACGATCGAGCGTTTCTCCCTGGGGAGCACCAGTCCTTTTTGTCAAAAAGAAGGACGGATCCATGCGTATGTGTATTGACTACCGGGATCTTAACCGGTTGACGATCAAGAATAAATATCCGCTTCCCAGGATCGATGATTTATTTGATCAGTTGAGG